CAGCAATGATGCCGCCGAACATGCGCTATCGTAGATGCCTCCACGGACCAGCTGCCGTAATCCAACGCAAGGCCTCAGTGTGCCGAGAACCGTCCTTCAACCATGTTCGCATCACCCGGCCCCGGCCTCGAGCTTCGGCTTAGCGTGCGAGGATGTCCATCATGGTTGGCGCATGATGTGCGTTGCTGCCAGGTGGGCAAAACATAAGCCTGTGCGTCGCAGTACTCCGAGCAATTCGCAATAACCAGGATGCCCCGCTGAATAACGATGCAGACGATTATGGCCGTGGTGACTCCCCGAATATATGTAGCACCACATCGCGCACGTCTGCATGCGAACCGGGTGCGTCTGAGGCGTTGTGGGCCTCGTCCTCCACCATGCGCGCGTCGATCCTCTCTGGTGGCCCCGCGGGGGCCGATCCTTCATGGATGGCGCGCCCGTGTTCATCCACTGCCCCCCGCGCACCTGCATTCTGGAGCTCGCTATGAAAGTTGCCGCCAATGGCCAAGATCGGAGCGCGCCTCGCAAGAAATTGCGCGAGCACTTCACTGACCAAGTCGACGATTGCCCGAACGACTGCGGCTGAATATCCGGCTTCGGCAAAGGCGGACCACGCGCCGCACTGCAACCAAAATGACGATGTCCCGGCCAGCGATTCCGAACAAAACCCCCCATTCCCTGAAACTTACCTGGCGGGCGCCATGCCTGCGCGAACTGAGGTTTACGAATTCTGTGGAAGACCAAACCACGCATGCACCCCGTGCTGGGGCTTGCCCCCGACGTAGAGCAGGAACCTATGGAAACCTCATGAGAGCCGTTGCACAGCCGCGTGCTCGCCCACATGTGGATACAAAACTTTGGGAGGCCCGTCGCGCGAGGCCCGCGCCATCATCTGCCCCGCGCCCGCGCGGGAGATAGCGCGACAGGAACCCAAGAGAGGTAGTGCATCCCGAAACCCTCGATGGGGAGGCATGGCTCGTGGAATGAACTGAGCGGCTCGCGCTCTCATGGCCCGGGGCAGGATCGAGGGCTGCGCGCTGCTCATCAAAGCCGGCTGGGGAAGGACGGGGGCATGAAAGGCGACCGCCCAAACCTGCCCCCGCGCCCCTCGCGTGCAAGAGCGAACGCAAAGACGCCCCAACACTGCAACATTCGGACCAACCAGGCGTCTGGGAAGGGGGAGGGGGAGGATGGGGGAGGAGGAGGAGAAGGAGGAAGAGGGGGGGAGTTCAGTTCAGTTCAATTGGCCCGCGGAGGTCCAAGATGATGCAAGCGTCGCATTCTCTCTTGCCTCTGGGCGTCGAATTGCAACAGTTATGGAGAACCCCCTCTGCGAGACGACCCATGGCCTCTCGAAAAGCTGCCCGCGCTGCCCCTTCCAGGGGCGATCTGCCAAAAGGGCGCGCAAACCCAGCGGGCGCCCCCATGGGGGCTCGCGCGCACCTACCCCCCCCCCCCCCCCCCGCGACGACGACCGCCCCCGTTCGACGCTCGCCCCCCCACCCCCCCCCAGTTCTGCCGCCGCGGCCAGTGCCATCAGCCCGCCATCGGGCGGTGCCGAAGGCGCTCTGCGGCTCAGTGCCAAAAGGCGTCTCCTGCGATTCTCTCGGCCGCTGGTCGGGGGGGGGGGGTGCGACGCTAGCTGGGGCGGGCGCGGGGTGCACTTCCCGACGCAGAGGGGCGAGGGCGGCAGCGGGCCGCCCTCGCGCGCCGGGGAAGACGTTGCCAACCGCCCCGCCGAGAGTATCACGGGCGGCAGGCCCCAGGCTCAGCGCGGCGGATTGAGGGCATAGGGAAAGTGAGTGAGCCGCGGAGAGCACGCCGATCAAGGCGATCCACTCTCGCGGCTGCTAACCCACAACTCCACTGTCAGACGATTGGCTCCTATGGAGCCTGACCCATGAAACTTCAGAGCCGTCCGCGCGAAGGGTCGAGACGCCCGGACTCGCCGGGGGTCCTCGCGCGCCTCGCCCGAGGGATGACACCCCGAGAAAAAAAAGACGGCGGCATCTCTGGGCACTTTCGCTCAGCTGGTAACCAGGGTTCGAGGAGAGGTAATCTAACAAGAGCTGACCTGCCGCCCCAGTGTTGAAAAAATACTAGGAACGCAAAAGACAAACATTCCCAGGGGCCACCCAACACCGATGACATCTGGCGGCCTGAGACGGAACGGAACGGGCCCGTTTGGCGGCAGGGGCTCGGCGGGAACGGCGGCGCCGCCTGAGGAGGGCCCGGGGCGATGAGACCCAACTCGCCTCCTCTTGTCGGGGCGGAAGGCAGGGCCCGATCTCGGGGGCATTACAGGGCTACCCAGGTCGGCCATGGCTCTAGACTGCTCCGCGCCAATCGCATCCCTAAGAGGGGATATGGGTTCAAAGTCAACTCTCCGCCCCACGTTGCGCCCGGTGCCCCGCGACTCGCTGCGTCGTCGGCAGCTGTCATCCCGCACAGAGCTGGGCGAACGCACAGTCACGGGACCACTTCCGCAAACGGTGAGCGGGGGGGGTGGGAGACCTCGTCCGACTACGAACCGGGCGAACGAAAGCAGGAGGAGTGGCAGTAGGGAAGGCAGCATGGGGTTCGGGGCTCGCAGCGCTGGGTGGCCGATCCCCGCTGCCATCCTGTCCGCCCTCAGCGTCGCCACGGCGCGGCATCAGGGGGCCTCTCAGCACCATGACTCTCGAATCCCCGAGCCCCAGCAGGGCAAACATCCAGGAAGAGACGACGACGGGTCTCCTCATGCTTAGAACCCTTCTTGCATAATAAACACCTCCATATGCTCCGCTTGGGCACAAGGGCAAACACATGCCGCATGTGGGCCGTCTGCTCGATTTCAGCAGGGATGGGCCGAGCTGGCGGCCTGAAACGCTTGGGCCGTCTCCGTGGCCTGGCTTCGATACGGTGGCCATCGAAAAAGGACCGAAGGGCATGAACACCCCACTACAAAACACGAGTGTACTGTTTGTGCCCTACCGTCATGGCCTGACATAAGGCCCGAGGGGCGACGTGTAAATCTCTGCCGTTGCGGGCAACGAGGTCGGCCCACCTGATGCCGATGGCACCATTGTGCTGTCCACGCTGATGCCTTGTAACGAGGACCACCCTGACATCTACCCACACCTCGCCCAGGTCCTGCAGCTTGGCCAATCTGCGTTCCCACAAATCGAAGTTGACACGCCGCGGGGTGCAGCACCATCTGGGTCCGAAGGCCAGGCCATCCAGGAGGCCTTTTGTAGCCCGTGTGGACCACAACGGGGGGGGAGGCAGACCAGAAGAACCTGGAGGAAAACACAAGTTTCGGCCCTGGGCGAGGTCGGTATGGGGCCAGGGAGGGCCTCCCAAACTGAAATGTCAACGCCATGCCTCATGGGTTCCCGTTGTTGACAAAAACCCACTTTACTCTGGCAACCTCTGGCCAATACAACATATTTGAACATGCCCCGTCCGTGTATATGGCCCCTGTTATTCCTTGTGGATCGCCGTATCGAATGTGCCAACTGCAGGGGTCATCGCGCATCGGGAGTGACGAGAAACAGGAGCGACTGACGAACAGCGGGCCCAAAGCAGGCTGTCGGGTGTTTTGGCAGGGAATCCCACAAAGTTGGTCGAGCCACAATATCGATCCCTCGAGTTCGCAAGACGAGGGCAGTCCCACAAGATGTGGTACTAATCGCGGCCCATCTGCGCACAGTTCGGGCAGGAGCTGCCGTCGCGGTAGCCACAGGCCGCCAGTCGGGCAGGCGTCCAGAGGCCTCCACCTAGCCAGGCCCGTAGAAGGCCTGCCTCTTTGTGGCTGGGACGCCACGTCGCTCGTGCAACCAGCTCGTCAGCGTCAGCGTCGTCATGCGGTGGGCCAGGGAGCACGTCATCATCCTCGTCAGTGTCGGAGGAGGAGGAGGAGGAGGAGGAGGAGGAGGAGGAGGAGGAGGGGGAGGGGGAGGAGGAGGACATACGCAATGCCCAGGCAATGCTAATGGAGGTAGCCACTCTCTTGGATCTCCAAGACCTATCGGGATCCACCAAAACGCCTAAACGCGCCCACAGCCTCCTCAATCCTTGATCCCCACTCCTCCTCCTCCTCCCCCGCCCCCCCCTCCTCCTCCTCCTCCTCCTCCGCCTCCTCCTCCTCCTCCTCCTCCTCGACCCTCGATTGTCACGAGGAGGAAATGTGGCCCTTCTACTGGTGACCCCCCTTGACGCTGCCAGGAGTGGAAGTGGTTCGGGAGGGCGAGGCGGGCTGAGGAATGGGCCAGAGAGAGAGACCAAGGACCAGGAGCAGCAGCATGAGAAGGAGGCACCGCCCCTCCTCAGCGCCCTCATCCCAGACATCCTTCCCGACCAACCGCCTTCTCCTCCTCCTCCTTCTCCTCCACCTCCTTCTCCTCGTCTTCCACCTCCTCCTCCTCCTCCTCCTCCTCCTCCTCCTCCTCCTCCTCCACGTCCTCCTCCTCCTCCTCCTCCTCCTCCTCCTCCTCTTCGTCCTTCTCCTCTTCCTTCTCGTCCTCCTCCTCTTCATTCTCGTTCTCCTCCTTCTCGTCCGCCTGCTCGATCTCCCGCTCCTTCTCCTCCTGCTCGTCCGTCTCCTCCTGCAGCGTTCCTCTGACAGTCTTTCTCAAGCGGTGTCCAGCTGCAAACCCGAGGGTTCCCGAGAGCCACAGAAAAATACAACGCCACCCCGCGGCCGTCCGACCGCAGCCCGAGGCCGCCTTGGGGCGACTCCCGCGACGGCGTGGCTTGGCCGGGGCGCGTTCTCTGAGAGCCGACGTCTCGAAACAAGTGCAACATCGTGGAAAAACTCGACCGGGGTCCCCGACCCCAGCTCCTGCTGCACCATGGCCCGAGTCGGATGGACACCGTGAGGGCCCCGGGCTCCGAGACAAGGCACAGCCGCCCGCAGCAACCGAAAACACTGACGACGCCAAGATCGCAGAGCCCCCATGGGGCCCGAGCGCCTACAGAGACCCCGTGAGCGAGCTCCGCGCGTTCCACCCGCCGCTCTCCGTGCAGACGGGCTCGTAGGGCAGGGTCGCGAACTGCAGCCGGCTCCCCGGCTCCGCCCAGGGCACGCCCAGGGGCCTCACCCACGAGAGCGACGGGTGGTCCTTGGAGCTGAACCCCGTGCTTCTCAAGTTCCCTCCCTCCGTCCCTCCCTCCCCTCCTCCCTGCTGCAAGCCCGGTCTTCCCTCCGCCGTCCTCTCCCTCCTCCATATGCCCCTCCCCTCGCTCCTCCCTGTTGCCTCCCACCCCCGTGGCTCCCTCCCTCCTCTATGTTCCCTCCCTCCTCTGATTTCTCACTCCCGCTGCATCCTCCGTCATCCCCCCACGCTGCGTGCTGCTCTCCTCCCTCTCCTCGTGCCCCTCAACCTGACACTTGACACCTGGTGGCTGCACTGTCGTCCAACGAAGCCTCCCCCCAGTGCCGATCGGCCCTGTGGGGGACCTCCTCCTCCTCCTCCTCCTCCTCCTCCTCCTTCCTCCTCCTTCCTCCTCCTTCCGCCCTCCCCTTGTCCCTCCGCCCTCCCTCCTCCCTCAATTCCCCCCTCCCAGTGCTCCCCTCTCTCCCGCCTGCCTCCTCCGTCCCCTAAGGTTCCAGGGCGGTTATTATAACCGCCAATCCGCTGGCAATTAAAAATAACCGCCAAGAATAAAACCGCCAGAGCATGAACATACACGAATCATGATACTAGTACGTGGCAGACGCTGATCGCGAGAGCACTGTAAGCAACTCGCGCGATCTGGAGCTTATCGGTTGGAAAAGGAAATGACTTTCATCGGTGTTGTGGTTGTAAGCGTTAAAGACGAGTGCATGCGGCGCCCAGGCGAGAGCACCATGATGGAAATAATTGTTCGCGGGGGAGGGCCGCAAAACACAATAAGTAGGATGGCCGCGTGGGTTGGGACAAGGATGAGTAGCGGCAGGAGCACGAACTCATCATCCTCAACGTCGCCAGCATCCCGCACCCCGTCCCCGCATTCCCCGTCCTTCCCCCATCATATTCCTCCTCCTCCTCCTCCTCCTCCTCCTCCTCCTCCTTCTCATCCTCCTCCTCCTCGTCCTCCTCCTCCTCCTCCTTCTCATCCTCCTCCTCCTCATCCTCATATCCTCCTCGATCCTCCTCCCCCCCTCCTCCTCCTCCTCCTCCTCCTCCTCCCTCCTCCTCCTCCTCCTCCTCCTCCTCCTCCTCTCCTCCTCCTCCTCCTCCTCCTCCTCCTCCTCCTCCCCCCTCATCATCCTCATCCTCTTCCTCCTCCTCCTCCTCCTCATCCTCCTCCTCCTCCTCCTCATCCCCCTCCTCCTCCGCCTCCTCTGTTTTTTTGTGTGTGCCGTCTTCCACGTCGACGGTGCGTGCGCCATTGCCCTCGACCACGCGATCGAGGCGTTGTAGATGTTGTGCCTACGGGCGTTTTTTAACACAAGATACAATACACATGAAAACAGCGCAGTGCGGGTTGGTGCCCGCGGGCGCACGTGCGCCCAGATCAAGGTGACCTGGATCGCGTCGCCAACGGCGTCTCGCTCCGAGATCGCCAGCCACGCCTTCGGCGATCCAGGGCCGATGCGGCACGCTGGCCAATGCCAGATTCCGTTCGGCGGGTATAGCTCCCGCGGTGGCAGTTCTATCTGCTCGGGATGTCACCACTCCCACGTGGGAGCATCCCACGCCAGTTGAGCCACAAAGAGGCTGTGATATATCCTCCGTCCTCCGTCCTCCGATCCTCACCTACACTCTTCCTCCACCATCTCATCGACCTAATCATATTCATCCGATTGTTCCTCCCGATCGTCCTCGTAATCGCAATCATGCCCATCACACGTTGTCCGCCGCCGTCCGACCGAATCCGTGCCCGCCCCGTCGCTGGTCGACTTCCCGCTGCCTTAATCACACACGCACGCGTGTCTCGTCTGCAGGAGCTCGTCCGAACGCAATTGAAACGTGAACATGCCACTGATGCGCCGATGACGGGCCACACGGGCGCACGCACAACCGTTCCCCAACGAGGCCGTTGACCCCGCCATGGACTCGCCATTGACCCGCCGTTGACCCGCCTGCGACTTCGATGGTAGCCCGCTTGGCCCGTCATCGGCTCATCAGTGGCGTCGGCCGTGCTTCACACAGAAGCGGGAACGCTCGAGGCAGCAGGGCGCACCGTGCCGACATCGCCACGTATTCACACCGTGCCGAAGCTCACACCCCCATGCCTTGGAGGACCGTTCTATGTTGTTTGAGTGCGTGCATGCCCACCTCGTCGTCACACTCCTCCTCCTCCTCCTCTCCGATACTCCTCCCTCTCTGTCAGTTGATGCACATGTCAACTTGCGTGTATTATTGTCGTTGCTGTTGTTCGGTCTGGCTTTGGCACGGGGGTCGAGGCAACGTCGCTATCTAGTCAAACTCAAACTCACGCGCGCCGTACCTAACATCCTGATCAGCCAACGCTTCATCGACCGCATTGCCGATCGCCTCGGCGAACGCCTGGGGGTATTCCTCCGACTGCTTCTGGGTCGGCGACGCGTTCACCCATGCTCCCTTGGCTGCACCCCAGCCCTTGGTGTGGTCGGGCTGACTGCCGTCGGCGGATGGCACGCGTTGGGTCTCTTTGTACAGTGGGTCGGAGCCACTGCGCTCCTTGGGGGTGCGCATTCCCATCGGCTCTCTTATGGGGCAGGGCATAAGGGAAGAAGGAGGAGGAGTAGGAGGAGAATGAGGAGGAGGCGGAGGAGGAGGAGGAGGGAGATGGAGGAGGTGGAGGATGAGGATGAGGAGGACGATGATGATGGGGAGGGGGTTGATGAAAACGAGGGGGCGGAAAAAATGTTTGGAAGTTATCCCGATGAGTTGTCATCCTGCTCCGCCTACCTCCTCCTCCTCCTCCTCCTCCTCCTCTGGATCCTCTGGATCCTCCTCCTCCTCCTCCTCCTCCCTTTCCACTCCCCAGCATGACGGTCAGAGCGACGCCCGATTCGGTGAGAGACACACACTTAGCGAAACGGGACGGGATGGGCGGGAGGGGTCGGATGTCAGATGTAGCACGAGCACACCTAGTTTGTTATATCTTTCTCGGTGGCGGCGTTGTGCAATATGTATGTATGTATGTATGTATGTATGTATGTATGTATGTATGTCTGTGTGTATGTATGTATGTATGTATGTACGTATGTATGTATGTGTGTATGTATGTATGTATGTATGTATGTATGTATGTGTGTGCGTGTGTGTGTATGTATGTAGGTATGTATGTATGTATGCATGCATGCATGCATGCATGTATGTGTGTCTGTCCGTATGTATGTACGTATGTATGTTTGTATGTATGTATGTATGTATGTATGGATGGATGTGCGTACGTACGTACGTACATACGTACGTACGTACGTATGCATGTACGTATGCATGTGTGTATGTATGTATGCATGTATGTGTGTATGGATGTATGCATGTATGTATGTATGTATATATATATATATGGATGTACGTACGTACGCATGTAGGTAGGTAGATAGGTCGGTATATGTGTATGAGTTTGTGTGTATGCATGTATGTGTGTATGTATGTGTGCGTATGCATGTATGTATGTGTGTACGTATGTACATGACGTATGCGTGTAGGTATGTATGCATTTATGTATGTATGTATTTATACATGTATATATGTATACACGGTTGTACGTATATATGTATGCATATGTGCATGTATACATGTATGCATGCATGCATGTATGTATGTATGTATGTATGTATGTGTTTAGGTATGTATGGATGTATGTATGTATGTATATATGTGTATGTACGTGTGTATGTATATGTGTATGTACGCATGTACGTATGTGAGTATGTATGTATGTGTGTATGTGTGTATGTATGTATGTATGTATGGGTTTACGTATGTGTGTATGCATGTATGTATGTATACACGCATGCAGGTATGCATATAGACGTGCGTGCGTAAACGCGTGCAGAGTGGGCGTCCCATCCGACTCAATATGCCGCCATCCCGCCTCCCTCGATCGAGGGCCAGCATGGCATATGCTAATGAATCATTCCACTCCCGCCACCGTCTCGCAAAGCCCGCCAATGCAACCTGCGGTGCGCTCGATGACACAACTGGGGCCACGCAACGGGCGGGGGTGTCACGGTTCTCGGAGATGTCATGCAGAACACGGTGCCCAGAGAAACGACGGTTGGTCACATTCGTCTTCCCCCCCGTTGCCCATCCTCCGTCGTCCACCGATTGGGGGCGCACCCCCAGCCGTCCTAATCCTCAGTAACCCTGCCCCCATTCAACCGTCTACGTTTTGCCACCCCCCTATCGAGCACATCCTTCAGCTCAAGGTCGGCATCCCTCTGGTTGGCGGCACAATACTTGTTAAAGATCTCCACGGGCCACGTGGTGAAGACCTCGAGCGGCTTGCGGCTCGGCGCCCCGAAGTAGCCTGCGTGAGTGACGCACCGTCGGCCACCGTGCGTGTCCAACGTCATCTTCATGTCAGGGTAGTAAAACAGTATCGAATTGAGCGGCTGCTCGATGCATGCGTACACGTTCCTCATCTTGCAATAAGCAAATAACCAGGACCTCCCTTATCCACTGGGGGGGGGGGCGGGATGAGGAACGAGCAGCAACAATAAGGCGGTGAGTGCATTGGGGAAGCATGAGCGCCGTCGTCTCCGCCGCCGTCGACACCACGTGGTGTCGACGGTGGCGGAGACAGTTGGTCGCCCTTATCGTCGCACCCGCCACCCTCCGCATCTTCAGTCGCCACGGCTCTTGCACAACGAATGCACTCCCGACAAACCGAGTCATTGCAACGTACTTCATTCCTCCTGACGTCCCCCAAGCATGTACACCCTCCCCCTCCCACGTGATGGAGGCGAGGCAGTTCGCCTCTTGTACATCAGGGCGGTTCCAGTCACCGTACGGGTACTCGTAGGATCGTTTGCTATGCCTCCTGGCAACGTTCACCCACGAGGAGCATTGCGGAGAGAACCACACTGTGCCGTGAATCACCATCGCGGCAACGCACACCGCCACGTAGACGAACCCCTCAACGGTGGATACGTCCTCGAACGAGCGGCCACTCTTCTTCTCGCATGCAGTCGCGTGGA